GTGAAGGCGCTGCGCAGCGTTTCCCAGGTGCAGCAGGAGGCTTGGCAGCGCGTTGAGGAGAAGCTGATCTACGGTACTGGAGTTGTGGCTGCCCTTCGGAACTTCGCGCATTAGCTTCTAGCACCTACATATTATTAGAGTTCACCATCAAATTTTGTAAATAAAGTTACAAGACCTTTTAAATAATTGAATTGTTGATTCCCTACCATCGCTGTGGGTTTAACTGGGAAAAATGTATATTTAAATGAAACTAAAACAGATGCATTGCAGAACTGACCTATAATACGCTTGATAGATTTCCAGTTTGTTAAAATATCGAATGATAGGCACGATTGATAATCTCTATAACATCTTCACTACTTATTCCCTCAAAATATTCAAGTTTATATATCTTAAAGTTTGTATACGATCAAAATTGCAGATGAAGAAAAATCGTAAAAACGATCATAGCAAAGAAGTTTCATGTGGTTATAAAACATGGTTAGAGGGTAATACTTTCTTCCGCCCATTGCATATACTTTACAGGTAGCGAATATCGAAATAATCGCTAAATTGCAAGTGATTTTCAAAATTATCCTCGACTCGCTTTTTATCTACAACTAATCCCAGATAGCAGTTTAAATATTGTACCCAAAAGTGGCCACCATTGAATTTAATCACGCCAGGCACTTATACAGGTGCCATCCAAATTCAAGATATCTCCAATTGGCATTCGGAGAATGATTCACACCCCAGATGACTGTGCAGCGATTATGGAATCAGCAGATAGCTGGGGCATGAGAAACAGGAAAACCGGGAAGAACAAAGTACAGCGTTTGGGTTGAAATTGTGTATTAATTATTTATTTGTTATATCCGTTTAAACTAACGCTTTTATTTATGCTGGAATTAAATAACTTAAACTTGTTCCTAGACGCGTTCGCTGGCGCGGACTTTAGATACGGTTTCTAGTGGCGGCTGATTTTCAATTTCAGTTTAGTTTAGTTTCAGTTTCCGTTTCCGTTTTCGATTCTTTGACATCCAACGCAACATAAACGAAAAGAAAAAAATGTCCCATTGGTTTACAAACAACCACGCGTTATAGACATAGTGCATATATCTGATAAGTTCCTTTGATTTATACCTAAATATCGTAGCTTGCATGAAATAACTTTAGATCTCGACTGGTTGGGTCTCCTAGTGTGTGTTGGATGGTGTGTTTGGGTGCTTTTTGGGAGTTCTTCGGCCATTGCAAGCGCAGTTACAGTGTTCCGGGAGCTGGTTTACATATTATTACTGCTTGTTGATTGGGGGTATTATTAGGGTTGTGTGGTTCCAGGGGTGCAGCACGCAGCGGGGGCGCTTAACTCGATGTGCACTGCTGGACACGGGGACCATCCTGATAGCCACCATCGTCCTCATCGTAGGCCATGCGCTGGTGTTGCTGGCGGCGTTGCTTGGGATCAAAGTCCTCCTGGGAGAGACAAATTTATAAATTAGCAAAATTATAATACTTTGTTTACTAAGTGTTATTGATATCTAATGAAAAAGCGTAGCTCCTATAGAAACTTTTGGCCTAGGGGATGTTAAAGTTAATTTTTAAAGCAAATAATTCCACAAAATTGGTCAAGTTTTCTTTTTTCTCACAGTTGAATTGGAATTTAATGCACATTTATTAAGAGTTATGCCCCTATATTTTTTTCTGTGTTTTTTAGTTCATGTAAAATACTCACCAAAACCGTCTGCTCTGCATCGATTGGAATGTCAACCTCCGGCGCCGGCGGTAAGCATTGTTTCAGCGTGGGCACCACCGATGGGTTAATCACCTCCGGGAAGATGACCTCAAACTGGATGATCAGCATGCCCTTCTCCATGGGGTTCTTGAAGATGGGCATACCCTCCTCGGCAATGCACTTGGTCATCTCGTGCCTGATTACCTCGCCGGGCTGCGTGGACACGATCAGATCGCGATCATCCAGAGTTTTGACGATTCGCTGGAATCCGCAGAGCGCCTCGACCAGCTGCAGCGGCATCTTCATCATCAGATCCTGTCCGGCATGGGCAAATGTCGCGTGCTCCTTTTCGTCCAACAGAATAATAATATCACCCGGCTGAGATTCCGGCTCGTGATCGCCCTCGCCCGTGAACACGATCTTTTGGCCGTCCCGCATTCCCTTCTCGATGTGAACTTCGAGTACTTTGCGTTCCCGCACCGTTTTCCGGCCACTGCAGTTCTTGCAGCGATCCTTCTCCTGAATGGTCTCACCAGTTCCGGAGCACTTGCGGCACACCTGCTCAATGTGCTGCATGATGCCGGGGGCGATCTGCTGGACGCGGGTCTCCACACCGTTGCCCCGGCACTGCATGCACTTCTCGATGCTGCCCTTCTTGCCGCCGCGACCCTCGCACTTGTCGCAGATCACGTTCTTCTGGAGCTGCAGCTTCCGCGTGGCTCCGTTGTACAGCTCCTCCAGCTGCACGGACATCTGGTGCACTACATCCTTGCCACGTCTCTCGCGCCGGCGTCCACCGCCACCGCCTCCGAATCCGGCGCCGAAGAACTTCTCAAAGAAGTCCATCGGATTGCGGAAGTCCCCGGAGTCGGCACCACCCTTCTTAATGGCTGCCTCGCCACCATCGTCATACACCTGACGCTTGTCCGCATCCGAGAGCACCTCGTACGCCTGCGAGATGGCCTTGAACTTCTCGCCCTCATTGGGGTTCTTGTCGGGATGGTATTTCAGGGCCAGCTTGCGGTAGGCCTTTTTAAGCTCTTCGGGCGTGGCATTAGGCTTCACGCCAAGCAGATCGTAGTATCCAGTCTCTTTGACCATCTTGTTTGCTGTTTACTGAAAGCATAGGAAGTAGGATTACTATCTGGGAGCTGGTAAAATTTAGATTCAGGCATGAATTTATAGTTTTTTCTTTTAAGTTTTCTGACTTTCGGCTTATTGTATATGTAGTACGTTTACCAATTGTATTGGTTTGGCTTTTTCCAAAGAAAATGTACAAATTTATATTGATACTAATCTAATTTGGGATAGAATAGTACTAGCAATAGTAATAAAAGTCAGTAGTTTAAAAAACAACGATGGTTCCTATGGCAGCTAGTGACGACGATCTGAGCTCTATAAACGATTTGTTTGAATGTCTTGCTTTGGATATGACGTTTATAGGGATGGGAACTGAAATTATAGATCATAGGTATGTAATTTATTTATTATACTCATCACATTCGTTTTATGGATAACTTTTCCCACGATTTGTTATGTTGTTGTGATAGTGATATATGTTTGAATATTCTAGAAAAACAAACATTTCGACTTTACTTTTCGACTTGTTTATTGATTTCTACAGCTCTCGTCTTGAATTCAACAGCCTTTTTTCGCAGTGCAAATTGGCGACGAGGGGGATTGAAGGGTTGGCATTCCCGGAAGCTAGAGCCCCGGTTTCAAGGTCGTAAAGCCGCCATGTGTTTGCAAAAATAACTGCGACGTTTTCTTGCCGATTTCTAGAACAATTTTCGTATTTCAATACGGCGAGCAGCTGACGCTCTCTCTCCCCCTCATTTCCCCCCCTTGCCAACACCTTCACCCCTCGCTCTCTTTCTAGCGCACTCACACATATACACAGTTTCTAGAAATTTTCGTCAGGGCAATGCAGCCCTGGTTTACCGAACGGCGACCGCAAAGCAGAGAGCGTGATAATGGAAAACGGGCAAGAGAAAAGCAGACTAAAGGGGAAAGGGCAAAGTGTCGAAAATAAAAATGGAAATCAATTCAAGAATCTGCTATTGCTTTAGAAGGCAACTGAATAGCTAAATCAATTACATTTTTGGCCAAAGATAGAGGGCATACACATATGCAGGAAGGTGCACTGGTATGGGTGCCAACATGTGCCGCGCAAGACGCTGCGTCAGAATAATTCAATTTGAACAAAGGAGGCGCAAAACCAGAGGGCCATCGATTTTGCAAAACCAAGTCAGAAAATCAAGGGGAAATCTTTGGCAAAAAACCACTATCGCTGATTACTTAACGGTAAAGAAAAAGAACCAAGCGAAAAGGAAGTGTGTCTACCAAGTACGCACACACTCACACACACACGCTGTGGCAAACGCATTTGCGAAGCAAAATGTGCAAAATCAGGTGGAAATTGAAATTAACCCACCGCAGCGCAACTCACCTTTTCCTCGTGTCGTGTCGTGTCTAAAGCAAATGGAGACTTTCGCAACCGGGTTCCTTGAGGTTACACTTTTACAACAATTTTAATTCACGTCGACTGCTTTTCAATAGCTTACTATGGCCGCCACGCTAGGAAGAAAACAGGGATGTGAAAAATATTTAAGTTATCAATATATCGATATTTTGATTTAAAATAAATATCTATACAGACAGACCAGGGCATTTATATTTTCTGCCTTTCGCAGCAGTTGGCGGTTTGCCACCCCTGGTTTACTCGTAAGATTTTCAAGAACAGACAGCACGGTCACACTGCTCTGAACTTGATTATTTAATAAACAATTGCAATTGATTTTATGAAATAAAACCCGGCCGCCCAAATGAGACACGTGCAATTTCTGGCCCGGACCGTTCTGGTGCAAAACAACAATGTGGAGGAGGCGTGTCGTCTGTTGAACCGCGTTTTGGGAAAAGAGGAACTCCTCGACCAATTCCGCCGCACGCGATTCTACGAAAAGCCCTATCAGGTGGGATTCTGAATAACGATTGATAGTTATTTGTTTATAATGCTTTTGACTGTTTATTAGGTGCGTCGCCGCATAAATTTCGAAAAGTGCAAGGCCATCTACAATGAGGATATGAACCGAAAAATCCAGTTCATATTGCGCAAAAATCGCACCGAACCTTTTCCAGGATGCAGTTAGTGCTTGTTAATGTTATTTTTTCTGCCAATAAAATGTAAGAAAAGACAATAGTTTTTCCATATGGCATATGTATTCTTTCATATTCATGATTCAAAATTAATACATTTATGTTTGCTCTTAGTTGAGTTTTAATCCGTTAAAAGTTTTGGAATACTTGATTCTTTTCTTAAATAATTTTTTATTCCTTTAATTTATTTATTTATCTAAAGCTAACAATTAGTGTTAAACTAATTTGAGGTGGTTTGTGGGATTACTATAATATTAAATAATACTACTATAATATTTACAAAATTTAGTATTTACAAAAGAATTTAATTTAGGTTGTATTTCCAATGTTTCTTTTTCTTATTTTGTACTTGACTTTTGAACTGTTTAAAACTGGGATATTTTGTTACATTTTGTATTGTATCTTTCTCCAATTTCTTCTTTATCCATGTAAGGTATTGTCTAGTGTCTGTGTAAAAAGATGCCTTGCCTTTCTTTCCAAAGGATATGATGCCGGCTAAAAGTGTTTTATTTTCTGTTGTGGTGCTCATCAGGGGACCGCCAGAATCACCTTTACACGAATCATCTCCACCCTCGCGACCACCTGCACAGATTTGTAATTTTGATACAAATGCCTCGTTTTTACATAGCGTATTATTTGGAAGATTTTCCTTGAGGAATTTGCGCACCAGTACTGGACTTCCGTTTCCCCAGCCGGCTGCTTCAAAAATTCGATCATGATGTGGTGCTTCCGCGGTGGGAAGACAAATCGGTTGTATTGCCACCGAATAACTAAGTAGATAGAAAATCAATCAATGAATCAGGGGGAATAAAAAAACATACATATTGTAGATGCGGCAATATATGGGGAGTTAAAAAAGATCGACATAAACGATTTGGTGGATTACAACTATGGAAAAATGTCGTCTATGATTAAATACTCACCGTACTGGCATTTTCAGTCGCAGCAAGGCTATGTCGTTCCTAAAACTAGTCGAATGGAAGTACTGATCATGCTTTATAATTCGATCCACGTCGATTTCAACAATAGGCAGAGCACCCGGCATTTTTCTATTCGGATCGGTGTAATGTGCGCCCAAGCGCACTTTTTGAAGATCGCCAATATTATAAATACTAACATGGACACAGTGGCCTGCGGTCAGGACGAACCAGTTGTTTATCAGGGAGCCCCCACAGTGGGGTTCCATTTGTTTAGTTTTATTGTTCAGATACAAAAGCATTGCCATCCAGGGGAACTCGTTGAGACCTGCCTTCCTGCCTTTCGTTCGTTTACTTCTATTTCCGCAGGTTGTGTTTGGTAAAAAGTTTCCTGGCTTCGGGCAGCAATACAAGTTCGGATTCCAGTAATTATTGGAGCATTTTCTGTCCCTTAACATCGCATTGTCGGCATTTTGATTGGAGTTAAACACTTGCAAGTCGGGACACTCTTTCAGAGGTTTACAATCCTCATCGGCTTTACATAAACTTCGTGGTGTTCGATAGGTCGCTATAATATAAATAAAAATGTTGCATTATTGTACACAGGTATATATGCCTAGAACTATTAATAAAATTGTTTAGTTGACATTAAATTGTATTTTCAAAACATTTTGTATAAGTGGATCAAAAGAAATGCAATGGGTTTGTAAGCCCCGGTAAATATTTTTAATGTTCAGAATATTTTAAAACACATTTTTCAAACTTAGGACTTAGGAAAATGTAAATGTAAGGACCTGAATGCGGCAGAAAAAAAGACTGCAGCAGAAGCAAACTGTACACTTTTGTTCCAAAGAACATGTTGATTCGTGAAGGTTTGAAACAAAACTGTTACTTGTATAGTTTTTGTCGCAGCTATTTATTTCGTTATTTACAATTTCATAAGTTGAGTAATTTTTGTTGTGGAAGTAAAAATAGTACTTTAATTATTGCTCATCAACGGAAGTTTTTAAAATAAGTAGCATACAGTCTTGATGACAAAGTTATTGAATATTTCTGTTTTTGATAAATGGGCATCACTATGGCCGAATTGGCACGTAGTCAAGAAGCGCACTGAGAGGCCGATTTGAACTGAAAATACGAATGACAGTTCTTAATGTTTCCTACCAGAATGTTGGCACTTCAAAGGCACTTGGATTCCACACGTGATTAAACAGCAAGGCCGAAACATCTCCCTCCTTTTTAAAATAGTAACATAGTAATTTTATGTTCTTCCTAGGAAAATTATGTTATTCTAAGGAGTTTTTGTATCTTTTGTCCTTTTTGACATGTTTGACACTTTCAGGAATATATTGAGTTATGCCTTCCAAAATATAATATAATATAACATATTTGTCCTTGGCCAAGGGTATGGGATCTCTATTCAATTTCAATTTCTTATTGTTCATTTGTTTAAAATTATATATTTTCATATATTTTTCAACGGTGTCACTTTAAGTTGACTGACAACCAATGAATATTATATCATCCATATAAAAAAATGCATGAGAAAGTACAAGTCCAGAATTTGGCGCTATTTTTAACCCGGGGAAATCCAGGAAATTCCAATTCCATCACTAATGTTCTTATGAAGAAATTTCAAAAATTAACGGCAACCTAGGTTCTTTCCTCTCTTTAAGAGAATAACTTTGGCAGCTTTTATTTGGCCAACAGAGAGAGAGAGAGAGAGAGAGCTTTGGGTTATGTGGCCACCGTTTTCTAACGGTGTTCGGCTTAGAATACTTTCTTTCCTTGAACGCAGCAGACGCGTTTTCGCTTTCTTATAACCAGAAATCTGAGAGGTAAAACAGACTTTGGTTACCCAAAAGTTTTGTCGATTTTTGGAGGCGTGATTTATAGTATATGAAAAGTTAGCGCAGTTGTTCGGTTACTTTCTTAAGTGCGCGATTTATTGGTTCGATAAACTGCATTGTTTTGTGAGTGAGTGAGTGTGCTGTTGTGTGTGTGTGTGCGTGTGTGTGGTTTTGAAAGTGGCTAGTGCAGATGCTTGAGATATTCTCCGGTGGCCCTTTAATTCGATGGATTCCCAAACGTGCCTAAGTGCTCCCCGAATGCATCGATAATTCGCTCATGCGGCCAATTTACTCAATTTACACTTGAGCCTTCGTGTATGTGTGTGTGTGTGTTTGTGACTGTATGTGACTGTGTGTGTTTCGTATTCGCATCAAAGTTGGCATGTTATTTTGTGTTGCCTGCTTCTTGGCGTTTTTATTATTTTCCACTGCTTTACTGTGTTCGCTTTTGTTGTTGTCTTATCGATTTCTTGTGTTATTTTTAGCGTGATTTGCATATGTATGTGCGTGCTCTCTCCTTATGGTTGTGTGTGTGTATGAGAGAGTCCAAGTTGTTTGTGCTTGTTTTTGCGCTTCCTTTACGCTTTTCTTTGTGTTTGTGCGTGTGTTTGTTTTTTTTTTGGTGTAATCGAATCTTGGCCGCTAATCAAATGAATTACGTCTTGTGTCACTTTCAGTTTTTGGGCTAAAACAACATGGCTTCGAGGAATCTGTTGGCCATCCTTCTCTTGGCCAGCATCTGCATGGCCCAGGCATATCCGGCTTTGTTGCCCTACATCTACAGTGAGTACCGCACTCGCTCGCACCCCTTGACCCCCATCGTTTACCCTCTCTAAATGGTTGATTTGCATTCCAAACCGGCCCAGATTTGCGCACAGAAAGCCGAAGTTTATACATATACTCATGCAGCTAGATAGAAACTTTTATAAATCAATATAATTACCTAATTAGTTAAAATATATTTGACATTTATATTTGTATCAAAAGTATCCAACAATATATTTTTAAACTGAGAAGTATGATCAATTTATTTAGAAAGATGGTTATCCTTTATTCACTGCATACTTTTAGTTGCCAGAAAAGTACATTTAACATTTTTTTTTTAAACCCATGTGATTCATATTTAAATATTTCTTTGAGATGGTATATTCTTCAAAAACTAAGAGATTTGCTAGTTTTAGTTATTAGATTAGAATCAAGGTATAAAAAGATCTCTTAAGATACAATATAACGACTTTATTCTAAAATTTATGGCATTGTAAGTAATTTAATACCATAGGCCTTCAAATTCACACAGACATGATTAACTATTTCCTGGTTTTAATGATTTCTTATGCAAATATCTAGAAAAAAGGTTTTTAAATTTTAATCCATGTTTTTAAATGCACCTTGTACATAATAGGTTTAAAGAATTCATTGTTATATAGTGTTACTGATAATATAGTTTCGGAAAAGGTAACTTTTTTGAAATAAAAAAAATAAAAATCCACCTAATTCGATGGGCTGGATAACTTTTGTACCATTTTCCAAATCAGATCCTTCCAAACGAAGCAGCGGTGACACTGTTTTCCCCCAAATCGAGGACGATGTGAGTGAGCTTGACCAGCTGCGAAATGAACCGGGAGCGGTGGTGGCCAAGCGGCAGCACGACGGAAGTACCGCCCGCACCACCACAACCACCAAGGAGAGCGTCGAGGAGGTGGCTGCCGTTCCCGAACCTGGCCCCAATCCAAATGCGAATATTCTGCCGGACTTGGAGAGACAGTTGGAGGTGGCCACGCCTCTAATTTCGACCACAACCACCACCAGCACCTCGGCCACCACAACGACGGCCACTTCCAAGGAAGAGGGTGAAAGGTCACAGCTGGAGGAGCCAAAAACGCAGATCAAAACCGTGGTGGAGCCGACGGCCCATGCCAAGGTAAGTGGCCATCCCCAGTCCCCGCTAGAAAATCGTCCTTTAGGCCGCTTGGTAAAATCCGAAATCCTCTTTTGCAAAATCCAAGTGTATATCTACGAAACCACCCAAAAACCAACAGGCATTTTACGGGGCGGCTCGTCTAGCTTTTGGTCAAAATCCAGAGGTGCTACCAACGACCACGACCACAACCACATCCACCACGACCACGACTACGACGGCAGCTCCTCCGGCTGAAGCCGAGCCGGAAGCCGATTCCCAACCACCAGCGGAAGCGGAAGCTAAAGAAGCCGCGGAAACGGAAGCGGAAACAGCGCCAAATGTGGCCGGAGAACCAGTTGAGGCAGAGGATCCCATCGGCGAAGTGGCCGAAACCGAACTGACCGCCCTAAATCCGCCCAAGTCCAAGCCAAATCAACACGAATCGAACAAGGAGACCATCGGTGACATTGTCTTCGATGTGGTGGCCCGAACCACTGAGCGACGGTCCAGCACGCCCAAGATCACGGCCAAGGTTCTTATAACTAATCTCAGATAAATCATTCAACATTCGGACATGAAATATTGGCTAGCTCAGGATCAATCTATATTTAATTGGCAAAACCCACTCAAAATTTGTTGATTTATTGATTGGCAAACTTCTGAGGAAATTTCTAAAAGTATCATTGGCATTAAATTGGTAATATTCAAAAGATATACTTCTTAAAAATGAACGCAAAAAATATTGGTCAAATCGACAAAACAAAATTGATTCCTATCCTAAAATCGAAACATTAATGCAATCCTAACTAACTTGATGATGGAAGCAGATCTATCCACCATGTTCTTCACATATATCTCATTACTTTTAAGTTCCAGTGCTAAGTACACTTTATAAATCCTTTTCATTTAATCTATTTTTCTAGACCGCCAAGAACTTGCTGCGAAGTCCGAATGGTCAGTACTCGTCGTTTGACATGGCTCAGTACATTTTCTGGACTGGCGATGAAACCGCTGTGGTAAAAGCTGTGGAGGAACTGGTTGAGGGAAAGGTGGTAAGTGGCATGTTATGAGATTCCATAAAACAGGTTTGAGGCTTGAGAGATGAAATAGTAAAACAGTGTAATTTAAATTTTTTTGGGCTGTTTTTTTTATTTTTTTTTTAAAGTGTTTTGTGTAATAAGAACTACTCCTGAAGAAGAGATCACATCAGATGACTAACTTTGGGTTGTTATTTATAGTTTTTCGGCGTCTGTTTAGATTTGTGGGTTGAATTTCATCATCTTATTTAGTCTTTCATCGACTGGTAGTAATAGTGGCTGAATCCGTGGGACTTTATGAGCGGTGGTCCAAAATACTGATGGCATTTTGGCGGTCCATGGTGGTGGCTGTGGCAGCCAAACGGTGGCGAACGATGGTGGTGGTGATGACTCCCAGGATGGTTCCAATTGTGTCCGAAGTGCCAAGGATGGCCATGATGTCCATGATGACCATGATGTCCGTGATGTCCATGATGTCCATGATGTCCATGATGTCCATGATGTCCATGGTGTTCATGGGGATCCTTATGATGACCACAGTGGAACATTCCAAATTTACGATTTTCTTGCTGGGGAGCTTCCATATTTATCTGTTTTTTTCGATTTAAGTTGCTTGTTTACAAATGAGAGAACTTCTCTGCTTGATTGTCGAAGGTGAACTGATTCCCACCGCTAAATCGAAAGCTTTTATATACCGATCGCTAGAAAAAAACTTTTAGCGATAACATTGTTTTTTATTCCATTATCTTATCAAGAAATAAGACATGCTTTATTAGAGTTAGAAATATTGTAATGCTGTTGTGCAATTGTCATATATAGTATAAACGTTAATTACTTTTATTAATAACTTGAGTTGAATAGCATTTAATATGATTTCATTCATTACTACAAATATTGCCAGATTCTGGTGTAATCGCTGCCTCTACTTTTGCCCTGCCTTTTTTTTAGTACGTCAATGAGCTTGGTAATATAAAAGGAATTTTGCGTAATTTTTTGCTGTATGTTAAGATACGAAAAAGTAGTACTATAAATACTACGCAAATTTTTGAACAACATTTCATTCATAACTATAAATGGGTTTCTTGTTGCAGGGTTTTTAAGATAATTAAAAATTGTATTATAAGTACTACACAAACTTTAAAGAAATAAATTCCATTCAAACTTCAAATTTCGGTACGCTTTTTTTGTATATTATTATTTTTAGCGAAATTATTTTATAACAATTTCATTTATGATTGTAAGTATTGATTCATTGTTGTGTAATTCTTAAGTCTCATTTTTTGCCTTGCCATTAATTATTGGATGTCAATGGAGTTACTAACAGCATGTTATTTTTGTATTTTCGGGTTGTTTAAATTAAGGGCTATTAATATAATTGTGTTGTTTATTTTTTTTTTAAATTTATAGTAAAGTAAAAAAAGTATTATAAATATTATTAGGGTTAGTAATATTGTATTATATTTGGATATTTTTTTTAAATCTATAATAAGCGTATGTATATATACCAAGCCCACAAAAAATTTTTAAAGAATAAAAATATTGTTACATTTATGGGTCTCAGTCGTCTCATTTAATTTTTTTTTCGCTTATTTTTGATTGTCTTTAATACTAACACTTTAGTAAGATTTTATTAGTTTTGTGTTATTATTTTGTGTATGTATAAGACTTACCGGATAGTTTGAATACGGGGTATATAGGGCCAAAATGATGTAAAAATGCATACCATGGTGTAGATATAACCTTCGGCTTAACTAATTTAAATGTCTCTCTCTTGAAACGGGTGATTTCACCCGCTTCCTAGCTAATAATATATTACTGACTATTTAATAAGCTCTGCCTCATCGTTTTTCGTAGATTACCCGGGAGAGCGCTCTAAAATTCCTGCAGGACATTCGGCTGGGGATAGAGTTCTTGCAGCGGTCCTACGCCAATCGAATTTTCCCCGAGGAGGTTCGCCAGAATCAATTAAAGCGGCACAGTCCACCCAAAACCACGCCCCCAACCACATCCACTACTACCACAACAACAACAAGTACAACCACAGAAAAGCCTTTCCCAGAAGTCCACGAATCCGGTTTGGAATCAGGTATCGCACGAGGCGCAGGAATCCTGCCCGCGAAGAATTTCGATAGTTTTACCTTCTGGAACAAACTCAAAGTTTTGGACAGCGAGGCACAGCAAGGTGGGTAATAACATGATATATATTCACAAATATTACAAAGTTGTATCTAATTCCTCAGATGTAAATGATTATGACGAGGGTCGGGCTAAGATTGTGGAATACTTATACAATGAATACTCCCTGGAGGAGATTCTCTACAAGCTGGCAAAGGTATTTACAAAAAATGTAACAGAAATATGGGCTGCTAATATATGATATATCATTTTAAGGTAATGTTTGCCCAGTCGCTTTCTCATGGATCTGATGAGGCCCAAATGGAGCTGCAAAAGCTCACCGAATTTCTAGAGCGCGAGGGTAACATGGGTGTCATACCCATTGACTTGCAGAAGAAAGTTTTAAGTGAGTACACTATTAACTTTATAAGCCTTAATCAGACGATTTGGTGTTGTATCAATTTAAAGATACTTTTTCAGTCTTCTAGATCATGAGATATGTTAGTAAATAATATGTATGAGTAATAAATAATTTCTTAATTTTAATTTCTGATGATAAAAAAGTAGAAGATCCCCTTTAAAATCGTCCCTGAGAATTATATAGAAAATCGTCTGATAGGGAGCATTCTGTGAAAATACTTAAATTTAATAAAATCCCCATTTTTTAGGAGTGCTGCTCAGCGCATTGTCGGACACTTTGACCGAACATCCGGAACTGCTGCCGGCGGCGCGGGTTAATCTGGCCAACCCATTTTACAGGCTTCCAATGCATACCCCCAGCCAATAGAGATACGTGGGGGGCTAACAGATTAATACAAATCCCTATATAAATATATGTTAACACGCATAATCCGCATCAGCTAAATGGCATATATCCACTGATCGGCGCTACTCTAAGGAGGCGCTCTCTCGGAACTTTGACTCAACTCGGCCCTAAGTTCACCCGATCGATTGGCAACTTTCACTTTGGTTAACGGATTAGCCTACGTGTAATATAGCAAAAATACTCCCGTGATATTTTCTGGTCAGGCAGAGGGCAATGTGAGATGCAGATGCACAGAACGAACCTTTTACACTTACGGTACGATAAGAAAATCAAAAAATAAATAAAATGACAAACCAAAGTAACCGAACCAAAAACCAAACAAAACTGATGAGAGAGACTTGCGCCCCTTTGAGCTTTTAAAATTAAAATAGACTATCTTATATGTATACGTCCACGGTATGCATACGAATTGGCACACTTGCTTATATTTGATATGAGTTTGTTAGTTAGATACATTGAGAGATTGACGATGAGGTTGAGGTTGAGGTGGCTGGCAAAATCGATGAGCCGCCACGGACGACCGATTGAAGCAGGAAAGGGCTCTGAGTCCGCCTATATCAGTAGCAAATATGGTTATAACCGCTCCACAGACGAGCGACTGTCGTACATAGTTATTACTCTATATGTTCTCCCCCGAATAATTGAGCGTTGCATGCATTATTGATGGATTGGTTAAATGATTGATTGTGTTGCGAGTTACATATACGATATGCAAATAAGAACTAGAACCTGTATCAACAAATTATCGATTATACACTCAATATACATAAAAATACATATATATATATATATATAAAGTATGTGAAAAATCTATTTATTTAAACTATTGCTCCTTTTTGGGCTCTGTGGTTTCCGGTTTGTCCAACAACTTGTTAATTCGTTCTTCTGTCATGGGCTCGTCACTATTGAAGAGTTTTTCTATCTCGGCCCGTTCATCATCGCCAATATCCTTGGCATAGAGTTTGGCCAGTTCCTCAAGACGCTTTTGGTTCTTCTTCAGATGTCCGGGTAACCAGAAAATGGTTTGCACCATTCTAATGAAAGATATGGAATTTATTAAAGGGTTTCCAGATATATGTTCGAATAAAATTGTCAGAACTATAATATCAAATGTAGTACTTCTTTTGTTCTGAATTATTTTTGTTAAATTATTATTATAGCTTAGACATAAACTTACTTAAGGAGTACAAATCCGCATACAGCCAGTAGCAGGCACATCCCTGATGTCTTAAACATGGTCCAATAGTCCACCGTAACTTGTTGGTGCTTCATTTTGGAACTACTTTGAAGATTGGCTCCTCTCGAGACTGAATTATGACTTGAACTGTCATAAATATATCCCTCGGTCCGAACCCGACAATGTTGTGGCCACGTCGCCAGGGGCAGCCGGTTCAAAAGATACGTGTATTATAGACCACACGGCAGACCAATAATATGTGGGAACTTTAAATCGATATCACATACGTCCTGATTTGATGACCCGTCCATTTAGTGGAGCTAACCCGCTAATTGAAAATATGCTTACATGTTGCTGCTAAACAAGTTGTGGTAGCGGGTTCAGCCACTTTATTGTTTTCATTTGCAATCGCACTTTCTATTTTTAACAGTTATCTTCTACAAATTACGTACTACAAAATGTTAGTAAGAATGATTAAGCTCATTATATAAAGTGAACTGGGGGTTACCCTCATAATTTTGTTAAACGTCAGACAATATTATATTAATTATTTACTAAATTTCGAATGTTTTCAAATCTTTTTTTCTTGTAGACTTTAAAATAGGACATAATAATAAATAGATCTGGATGATTCTAAATTCTAACCATTAAAATGCAATATGCTTTGAAACTTCATTTGATTAATGGGTACTAAATAATTGGAAAACGATAATAGAATCAGTCAATTCATGGGGTGTTTGTGGCTTTTTAGATTGTAAATTAGGGTACCGCGATTTTAATCAGAACAAGAAGCTGATTAGACCAGGTGTATCTATCTCTCCAATATATTTCGCTTGGGGGTCTAAAAACGCGTTCGCCAATAAATCTGATTGCGAGCTATCACAAGATAGATAATAGTCAAAAGGCTATAAAAGCTGGGATTCCGAACCACTCGGACCATAGTAGAGCTATGAAAGGAGGAACGTTAAAAGTAACTATATTACTGGTCGGTTTGGGCCTAGTATTGGCCGGTACTCGTCCGATTTCTGATTGCGTAAGTATAAGTACAAGTATACCTATATAACTCGCTTAATTTTTGATTATAATATAGATTATACTTTTAACTATTCTGAATTTTCTTACTCTTAGGGAGAGCGTATAGAAGATGATGGCTATCCGATGGAGCGCCACGTGGTGACCACCAGTGACAGCTACATCCTGACCATACACCGCATCCCGTATTCCCCCAAAACAGGAGACACTCCGAATCGTCCGGTGGCCTTCCTCATGCACGGAATGCTGAGCTCCTCCTCCGATTGGGTTCTCATGGGTCCGGAGAGGTCTCTCGCCTATATGCTGGCGGATGCCGGTTACGATGTGTGGATGGGCAATGCCCGTGGCAATACCTATTCCAAGGCGCACAAGTACTGGCCCACTTACTGGCAGCTCTTCTGGAATTTCAGTTGGAACGAGATTGGCATTTATGACGTGCCGGCGATGATTGACTACGTGCTGGCGAAGACTGGTCAGCAGCAAGTGCAGTATGTGGGCCACTCACAGGGCACCACTGTCTATCTGGTGATGGTGTCTGAGAGACCCGAGTACAATGACAAGATCAAGTCCGCCCATCTTCTGGGTCCCGCAGCATATATGGGCAGCATGAAGAGCCCGATGACGCGGGCCTTTGCGCCCATTCTCGGCCAGCCCAATGCCATCGTAGAGCTCTGCGGATCCATGGAGTTTATGCCCAGCAGCAAGTTCAAGCAGGATATGGGCATTGAGATGTGCCAGGCCACTTCTCCCTATGCCGATATGTGCGCCAACGAGATCTTCCTGATTGGAGGCTACGATTCCGAACAGCTGGACTATGTAAGTATCTAGAAGGGAAGTTGATTGATTGATTACTATATTACTATATAATTACTATATTATTACTATATAATTCTTTAGGCCCTTCTTGAACACATCAAGGCCACCTCTCCAGCTGGTGCCTCCGTAAACCAAAACCTGCATTTCTGTCAGGAGTACAACTCTGGAAAGTTCCGTAAATTCGACTACACTGCTCTTCGCAATCCCTATGAATATGGAAGCTACTTCCCTCCGGAATACAAGCTAAAGAACGCCAGGGCCCCAGTTCTATTATATTACGGAGCCAATGACTGGATGTGTGACGTAAGCGATGTCCGCAAGTTAAGAGACGAACTACCCAACATGGCACTGGATTATTTGGTGCCCTTCGAGAAATGGGCTCATCTGGATTTCATTTGGGGCACTCAGGCCAGGAAATATGTGTACGACGAGGTCTTAAAGCAGATGCGATCCCACGAGTAGGTTTATTTTTCTGCAATAAAGTGAACATATACAGCACAACTCCGAATTCGCTATTCCAATTCCACCTCGGCCATATAAGATAATATGACTGATTCGTCGTTTCTAAGTTTGTACTTTATACGGTAGTGTCCAGGAGTCATTAGTTTCTTTAGCACACGAACGTCCAGCGGATAGTCCTCCAGACGGTATTGTTCTTTTGGCAAAGGACAGGTGTTCGGATGTGGGGCATTCGAATATTCCTTGATACGTTGGTAGAAGAAGTCCTTGTAGTAGGTCTTCATAAAGTCGCAAAGCTGCACTTCGAACAACATTATCCTCTCATAGCTGCCATCGCCATCCACGGATCGTGACACCTTAAATTCCACCTGTAAAAGGAAATGATGATATATAAAATAAATTATAAGTTTTTTCTAGATTTTCGTTTCGTTATAGCCGCCATAAAGTTTTGTTGCATTAAATATACCTTAAGTCACTTTCTATTTCTTACCATCCAATCGTTGTCGAGTTGATAACGGAGATTGAGATCCCAGTTTACTTTCAGCACATTTTCCTGAAACTCAGCAATGCGCAGGCGGCTGTGCAGATAATCTTCTTCCTGGGCCAATTTCTCCAGCTTGTGGATCCTAAGTTTTCTTGCATGGACCCCAAGTGGATTGGTGGCCAGGAGGATGATTCCCAGCATCAACAGGTGATGCACTGAACCGGAAGAGGAGCCCATTTTGGTGCTTGGATGACTGTTGCTCGATCACATGCTGTAGAGGGTTTATAAGGCTGTGAATAGGGAATTGCAGGTTGTACCGGAAACAAACGTGTTTCACTATTCCAAGATATGGTGTAATTGATATCGAATTAAATTCCGTTTGGATTTTTATTATTAAATAATTGCTTTCCCGTTCTAACGCATAAAGCAAAACAAGCAGATGCTCAGCCATCGATTATAAAACGGTTTTAATTGCTAACAGCACGACAATGACGATGATCATATATAAATATAATTCATCTAGGTAAGGTAGGGTATTTACCATGGGGAATTTGATAATAGCTTTACTTTAACCCTATTTAGGTACTCTTAAACAAGAGACTTGTATATACTATAAATCTGTTTCATGTTCCAAATCCTATGGACGATTATAAATACAGTAAAGAACTTGAAATTAATGTCGATATATTTATTTGAAAGTAATATTACTATGTAATAAATTTAATTTAGAGTTTCAAATTAATTTTTTAATCGCCTAACTAGTTCAATGCTATCACAAATGATACTATTAAATACATCCGATTAATGTTTTTGATAATTTAGAAACTCAATTTTAGTCCCGAAATAGAGGCGCATTATATGGAACATATCGACAACATCTGGATTCATTCGAACACCTCCAACTCTGCCTTATATATTAACGGATAAAAAAGATGATCCAACATAGCCTTAAACTCTATACGGTAGTGCCCCGGCTTCAATAGAGACTTCAGCATTTTGACGTCCAACGGATAGTCGTCCAAGTGGTAGTGAGCTCCTTCTGGCAGAGGACAGGTGCTTGGATCCGGAGCATTCGAGTATTCCTTGAGTCGGTCGTAGAAGAATTCCTTGTAATAGGTCTTCATAAAGTTGCAAACCCCAGTTTTGGCTACATAAAATACCGATTTATATTCCCCATCGCGTTCTTCGGATCGATTTACTTCAACATCGACCTGTGGAAGAACAATTTAAATAATACATATATTGTCGCTTATAATATATTTACCAAATTAGCTATTCCTTACCTCGAAGTGGTCATCCACTTGATATTTAACCTTTAGCTCTCCGTTAACTTTAACCACATTATCCTCGACCTCGACGAAGCTTAAATTGGTTTCGAAAAATCTAGTGTCCTCCTTGAATTTCTCGAGCTTGTGGAGCTTTAGCTTTCTTTCAGCCTGCACCCCAAATAGATCGATATTAAGGAGGATGCTCAGAAGCACCACAACACTCCGAGCTGAAGAGGACCTCATTTCGATAGTTAAAAGACTGATGTTCGATCAAGTGCTGACGACGGTTTATAAAGATTGGGGATCAGCGGCAGACCAAATTGCAGCTTGTACCGGATATGTCCAATAATGTTTTTAATGAGATAGAAATGCAATCCAATTTCGTTTGTTTTATTTATATATTGCATGGCAGTCTTAACATGTGAAGCAAAAACAAGCAGCCATTGATAACGAACTACATTTAATTGCTAACAGCACGGCAATGACGATGAAGTACGATCGAGCTTAACTTAAACTCTCCATGCCCAACTTCTCTTTCTTTGATCTTAATTAAACATAAAGTTTGTTCAATATCCTGGAAATATATTGCTGTCCTTAGTGAAGGGATAACCATTTTATTTTAAACATATTTACCCTAATAATCTTTTATCAACACAAAAATGAAAAAACATTGAAGTCATATGTGTTTGATTTACTCAAAATGTTCTATTTCATATTTAAAGTCCTATAGTTTTTGTAGTTTCGTAAGCTTCGACATACTAAATTTATAACCATTTACTGTAGTCTATAAAAAACACGGGCATGAAAAGCTTAATAACAACTATTTTGCTAGCATAAAAGCATCTTTGTTAACAATAGGTACTGGCTATAGCTAAGTTACATATGTTCGATACTGTAGTGAACGAATTGCAGCTGGAATGTTAGCATTGCTCAAGGGAATCTGCCAGCCAGCCATGGGAGAGTTATTGCCTAATTATGGATTCCATCGAGATCCCGGCTAGCTCGGTGTGGTGCCAAAGTTGAGACGCAGTTGCTCCAGAAACACGAAGGTGATGACCGTGTGGGGACCAAGACGCACAAAGGCCGGTACATAGCCCTTGAAGAAACCGAGGGGTCCCAACTTGGCCGTGTGCTTTATCACGTCCCAAAGACCGGAGTACTCTCCGGGCTTAGCGTTCATCGATCGCGTCTTTAGAACATCCAGTGGCTGGGTCAGGGTGGTGGCTATCGTTCCGGCCACCAGGGAGGCGGTGAAGTGGGTGATCAGGTTGTCGTGGAAATAAGGCGTGGCCAGCAGGTAGATCTTTGTCTGGTCGTAAAAAGCAATCTGGCCGATGGTCATCAGGATACCACGAGCAGTCGCTGTGGTGGCGCCGGAAAACAGTCTAGCGAATCCCTCTTGCCGGTACACCTTGATCAGTCCATCGAAGGCGTTCTTATAGCTAAATTAAAGAGATGAAAAATTGTAGTGGTTTTCAGAATTTTTGTATAGCGATATGAGACGATACTTCCATTTCATTACAAAAATGTATGAAGACTATATATTGTGGTTTAAAGAGCTAAATTAAAACTTTAAATTTGTTGGGAAGTAATATTCCCTGCAAGCTTATAATTGTACATATGTATTGTTTTAATTTGAGTTACGATCTTACAATCGAGCTTCATTTAAAAAATACCTATAATAACTACCGTACCGTATAGGCCTTATTTTATTGGAAAGTACACAAATAACTAATGAAGAAGTTTTGATATCTGTTTGAATACCCTTTTTAAAATCCGTACTGGTTGTAGTACTTACTTGCGTCGCTGTTCCTGGGGCAGTTTTACGTCGTTCTGCATGCGAACATTGACCATGTCCGCCGGCGTTCCCACAATTCCGCCCACCAGACCGGAGGCTCCGGCAAGTGCCACTTTGCCGGCGAAGGTGTCCGTCTTAACGTAATCCTTTCCGGCCTCGTAGACCCCAAAGCGGGCTGTGGAATAGGTCATTTGGCGGAGCATCGAGGCGGAGAGGCCGTTGTAGAAGACCAATATACCCTGTTCGCGGGCCAATTTCGGGATCAACTGGGCAACCGACAGGTGTCCCTGTTGCGTCTGCAGCGTGACCTTGATGAGGTCGAGTGGGTGGGTCACCACAGCGGCTCCTACGCTCGCCAATCCTCCAAAAAACCATCTTGATTTTCTCTCTTGTTTGGCCATCTTGCACGTATGAAATCCTTAGCTAAAAGTTGGTAAAAATAAAGAATTATTTACGTGTTTAATTGGACACCATTCTTATACCTATAAAAAGGTGGTACGGCTACTAAATCGAATTTCTTTCGAGGGGCGGCATTTTCAGTGGGTCGGTTGTGTTATGTCATGCCGGTGGGCCTTAAAGGAACTGACGGTATTTAAGGACCCCGAACCATCGGGAAATCAGCTGGGCGGTTGCGCGAAAGCTCAGCTTGAAAGCTTTCGGCGGTTAAATTAAGGTAGCTGTTATCGTGGGCGTAGCCAAAATTTATCATTGGGTAAAAAGGGTTCGAAAATTTGTACTTTGTATCTGGACTCCATAACCATTTCATTTTTTAATGTTTAAAAACTATTTAAAACTCTTTCATTTAATAGCTATAAGCATGTCTTCAAAACAAATTTTAAAGTCTTCAAATTGAATTATAATTATATGTTTAGATGTTTATGTTTATGTTAATGATAAACTTACTTATTACATTTATCAAACGTATTACAATCATTCTACTAGATTAATTTAAAGTTTCAATTTAAAATTTAAAATTTACTCAAAATATTAAATCATTACTTATTAAAATTTAAAAATACAAAAAAAATGTTTTTGTTTGAACAACAAAGCATAAGTAACTTGATATTTTGATTTATAATATATTAAAGCGTATCCAAAATATGTAATTATCTTAACTAAAGTCACTGGAATATATTAAGCCCCCAAAACAACGACCATGTATATATTATATTCACTTTTCCCGCTGTTAACATTCTGTTAACCGCTAACAGCGTCTTGGTCGCGCCTAACAGCACCGTTTTATGAGTTGGCAACCCTGCGAAACAGCTGATCGATTTCGGAATACGGTCATACCAGCACCTACAACATGTTTTTCATGTCAAATTTGTATATTTGTTCCATAAACTAAACCGAAAAAGTGATTCCCTTGCCGCCAGTGAAGAGTTCTCGACATTAGCCAGCCCACCATCTCCACGGGTGAGTAATTGGCCCGATAATTTGGGCCCCATCAACTTGCGCAACAAGTCGCCATGGCCGGCCAGCGTCCCACAATCCGCGAATTCGCCAACTTCATTTGTTTTCAGGCGTCTCTAGAGCTGTTTACATTTAGCTTTGCCCATTTGGGAATAATGGCTAAAAGATCGGTCATGAATTTATATTTGGGGTGAGATAACAATCGAGGAATTCAGGCCAACAGAATGGGAACAACTATTGGAGAGCAAGAGCTGAAAAACTTTTGATATCTGTTGTGTATACTCTTTTTGAAAGGATGGGCATATCATAAAGTTGAAATGGTTTGTCCAAAGGTTTTGAAAACATTTTTTTAAAGTGTGCTTAAAACATCAAAATTAATTATCTTTACACATTTGTTTGTAAACAACTGCATTCCAATGCTTATATACTATTGATGTTCTTAAAAATATACATAAATATAGAATGTTTATAAAGGCACATCGATCCTATGATAAATGTATATACATTATATAGTCGTAAAATTTTGTATCAAACTCCTAATGTATACAAGAAAAACATGTAGGTGTATAAACTATCGGGTTCAATGCCAAAGAACAAGTTCTAATATTATGCGATCGTTGATCGAAACGATATAGGATATAGTCTTTCAATCGCAATGAATTGCAAATCAAATTATTGGAACAGAGACAAACCGAATTTCCATTCTTTAAAACCTAAACTTATGTATAAAAATGTTTCTTTACCTGATAGTTTTTCAACAATTTAAACTGTTGAAATGAATCCCATTCAAGTAATGAAACAATAATTCGATAATTTGTATAAATTCTTTTAACACACCCATTGACTTATTTATAACCTAAGTCATGGCATCCATATCGGCCAATTGCCCTTTGTGCCGATTGTTTTGCTGCTATTTATAAGACCCAAGACCCGGGAGTAAAGTAACAATATTTATGGGCCTGTTTGATGTCCCTGCCTTATCAACCTCCGATTGGACCCCGGTTACCGGGTTCTGTTTATAGATAGATAACATGTTTACCATCGTTCAAAATCCCGGTACACAACATTATTGCCAGCATGTGTATTCTGTTTCTTTCCCAGCTCGCCAGCTTTTATTTATTTATTCAGTTACTATTTCTGTTTGAGAACATCCACGTGCGTCAATTGCTTCATAAATTATATGCAGAAAAAAGAGACTCTCTTCTTGTTTTACTCTTACTCTTGTTTTTTTGTTTTGCCAGAATTTTATCTGAATATAAAATTGAGTGGCAGTGGTCAAAGTCGAATTAATAACGAATATCACATGATCACTTGGCATACTAAAAGTTATTTTCGCTTTTAATCGAGCCCCCAAAAAAGTCCAATTGATAATGGATTTTACTACTTATGAACAGCTGATTTTTGGGTAGACTATTCCGATCATTCTGTAACCTTTCATGGCACGAAAGATCGCGTGATTATTTAGTAATCCGTCTGAAACACTATCTGTATGGTGTTTGCCCGCTCGAAAGCCGCATGTTTGCCTTGCAAATTGAATAATAAACTGACACTGCAATTGCAATTGCTAAAGTGCTAATGAAACAAAAAATTAAGGCTTCTGGGTGGCGAAAAGCAGCCACAGCTGATGGGGTATTTACCTTGAACAAGAAACGCTGCCTCTGTTTTTCCTGATGTTGATGGTTGTCTGCTTTCCGCGAAGAAAACTGTTTAATAAGTTTATAATTTTTTGGCACACCAGGCGAGCGCGATAGAGAGGGCGAACTAGAAAGAGAGAGACCTCAGCACGTCATCGCTGTCCGCACAAACTGGTCTGGGTTTTGGGAAATGGGATTGGTGAGGGGTTTTTTGCTGTTGCTGGAGGCAAACGAATCGCAACGCTTGAGCACCGAAAGCGGACTGATCGCCGCCTCTAACAGCGCGCCAGATCCCACACAACAGCCGGCATTCGACCCTACACGCAAAAAAAAGAGCCCCAACCCACCCCTAAAATTTAATAACAATATTGAGTTCCATATTAAAAGTACTTCTACAGTTTATCCTCCAATCATAAATCATAAAATGTAAAAAAACTTAAAAAAACATCCATCCAACCAGTTATTTGTCTGTCAAATATTAACTTATGATTTAGTACTAGCTTCACGCTGTATAAAGACTATGTACACGTTTAAAAATGTTTATGATAGTTTTTAACCCTTTCATTAGTTTTTAAATGATGATTACTAAGTTTGAAAGTTCTTATAGAAAAATATTTTGCAAAATTCATTTATAAAGCAAATTTTTTAAAAATAAATTATTTTATCTCAAGATTTCAAATTATGTAACCATATTCTGAACCAAATATAATCAAAATTTAAATTCTTAGTTATTCAAAGTAACTTGGTCGCCATAAACTATGCAATTATTTTTACAAACTGAAACTTGGGACATCTTATTTAAGACTTTTTTTCAAAAATATTTTTGATTTAATGTTGTATCTTCAGAAATGGATTATCGAAATCTTTTTTCCGAGTGTCCACATGCGCTCCGGATTTGACTCAGGTCTGCTTTATCGCGCGGTCAAGGCGGCCGTGTAGGAAGTGTTCTGGTACTGGGACTGTCACCGGGATCCGGGGATTTGAGTTCCATGCCGGAGCGGGATCGACTTGTGTAGTTAGTCAGTGGTTGGCGGTCAGCAGAACGACACTGCGAGAGAGTGAGAGAGCGGGAGAAAGTCGGGTCGAGACTCGAGTCAACATCAAACAAAACTGGTGAGAGCTTTTTATTGACAACGCGTTGGCTCTCCAAGTTTTGTAGGTATGTGTGCATGTTATGATGATGGTATCGCTCACATAAGAACTCATAATACATGGGGATCGAGGTGTAATTGCGAGCTTTTGTAATACCTGGTACACCCATTCACTGTCTCATTCTCCAGTCCGTCATTATGGAATGATATTTTCATGACCATGTGGAAATGAGTCAATTTCGTTCACCCCGCAAACATTTATGTAATTTCAAGAAAATCGGGGCGTGTGCCCGCCAAAACTCATTAATCATGGGACTCTCATTCAGCTAATTGCCAAAACATTTTCATTTTATGCCTAATTAAACAGTTTCATTGTGCATTACAAAGTTCGATTTCGTCCAAATAGTTTGCACAATGCACTTTGGAGTCAAGGTTTAATTAGAATGTTTCTGTTTACCTGTACTACAAATATTAAACGCTTCCAAGTGGAAAATCGGTTTCCTAGCGTGTAATCTTGGACGGGGATATTGCCGTGATAAGAACCCATACCGAGAGTAAATGGGCAAATATTTTCTCCAACTATTATTAACTTTGTGCTTAAATCTTATTTAAATATTGTTGTGCACGTTTTTGTAGCATGTCCCGCCATTAACACTTTTAGTATCTCCCTGCTTTTTTAGCAACCTGATCCCTAGTGTTAAATTTTGATTAAATACAATGGAAAAGAACTGCAAAGGTTTATTTTTTCAAAAATAACCTACAAAAGCTTTGTCAGAAAGCTTTTCCTTCGACGTAGGAGAGTCACAAGCGCTTTGGAGCTTAAGTGGGCATTTGTCGTCGCCTCATACAACGGCCCATTAGCTCAGTTGGTTAGAGCGTCGTGCTAATAACGCGAAGGTCGCGGGTTCGATCCCCTCATGGGCCAAATTATCTTTTTTATTTATTTTTTTTCATTTTTATACTATGATTAATATTAAAAGTAAAAGATTCAACTAAATCAAACACCCTATAAAGTTTCTATCATTTACTTTTGTAGAAATTTTCTATTCATATCTTTTACTTGTTTAATTTTAATATATTAGTAGGTTTATACATAAATCATATAAAATATGATCAAAAACAAAAAATACCATTATAAATTATTTGTATCCAAAACCTGAATGCTAAGATAAATAAAGAAAATGTTCTTTAGCCAATAAATAACCAACAAACTCCTATTCCTTTTTATTAATGCTTAATAATTTATTATATCTTGGTTTATTAACTCTCACTGTTGTATATAAAGTACATTTTCTTGGATCGTGGCCACGTGTGCCGCTGACAGCAATGATGAAGTGACAAGATGGAAATTCCCTTCTTATTCATTTTCCCTCACCAATTTTGGCCAATAAATTTCAAGTTGTTGGCCCCGTTCAAGTGTTTTTAACCTCATCGACTTCGTCGCCACGTGACCCGTCCCAAAAAAAGAAGACTAAATACTGCGTACTTAATTAATTGAACTTCGCAGATGACATTTACAAATTGACCCATGGCTGTTTTCTTTTATGCTATTTCAGATTCGCACGCGTAGTAGAAACAATGGCCACCTCAGTGCTGCTAGCCTGTGGACTCAATGAGCAGAAATTGCCAGGATTCGTGCACATTAGCGAGGAGTCCAATGTGGATGGCAGCTTCCTGATCAGCTGCATTTTGGGCCAGAGGTTACGCATCTCCAACGCTGGAACCCTGCTCGTCTGCCTGCAGCATCACTATCAGCATTATTTTAATGCTGGTATGAGATTGGGCTACAACACGAATATTTTCCGTGGGAAAACCCTGGGGGTCATCGATGTCCTGAGCGATATGGCCGTCGAGGGATTGGCCTCCAAGTGGCTACGCAATTCCGAGGGTCAGACATTAACCGAGCAGCTAGTAGAGGACATCCGTGCCCAGGTGGAGAGCAACTATGCCAGTCGCAACTCCTACACAGTTCTGATTGACAATCTGTCCATTTTGTTCAATTTGGGCGCGAGCAAGCTGCAGGTTCAGCAGTTCTGCCAGGATTTGGCCGCCCTCGCCAAGGAGCGCGACAATCTTACGGTGATCACCAAGCTCAGCAACAGCGACATCTACCAGCTGACGGATAACAATGTGGCCAAGCTCGGACAGGTGCGCATCCAGGTGTTGCGCTTGAAGAGCGGTGTGTTCCGGGAGGTGGACGGCAAGCTCCTAATCGAACGTGTCCTAGACGAGGGCAATTACGCTTGCGAGGAGACGCGCAAGGAGGTGCTCTACAAGGTCAACGATCGCAACGTCAAGGTCTTTACACCGGGCGAAATTGGGGTGAAGGTCTAGAGGCGGGTCACGCACAAATAATTGTATGAATTTTAATAAAGCCATTTTTTGTATATTCTGAGAATTGCCAGCCACAGGTTTCATTTTGCGGCGGAAATTTACTGCGTCTGTTACACTTAAAAATCATGTTCAGGCTTAAGTCACATTTTATAAAATTTTAACACAAGCAGCTATAAATGTATTAAAAAGTTTTAAAAACATACATATTAGTAAAGTGTTTTCAAATTGTATTTCACTATTGTTTTGCTGTCTTGTTAATGTATGAAGAGTATGTATTATTACTTTAGATTTTAAAACACATATGTCTTAAGTATTCAAAGCACTGTACCACAAACTGGTCATCCTCCAGTGGTCAATGCGCCGTTCAATCTAATTGCCTTTGTCCGTCTTTTATCTAGAAGCATCTGTTGACGTCACCCTCCAAATCGAAATACTGATGAATTTATGTCTGGTCACGATCAATAAGGAGCCAGTATAAACGACTCGAGGCGGTAACCCAAGACAGCGCCAGAAAAGTTTGATTTCGTAGGCCCACATAAAGGCTAAATGACGTCGCCGACAATAAAAGCGGGCAATTGAATTTTTCCAAGCCATACAGCACAAAAAAAAAGTTGATTAACTACGACTGAATCGCTGTCAAAAATGTGCTTCGGTTGCAAAGACTTTTTGGGGTCCAGTTCCAGGAAGATTTATTTATATCTGTTAAGCCCTCGAAATGGATTGAGTTTTACCGCCGGGCATAATGGCTTTTCAGTTTGTTAATTACTAGAAATTTTCCTATCCCCAAACACTTTATGACAAACTTTGATGGAAATGCCCGAAGGAAATTTGATATTTTATGGTATACAAGATGACGAGTTAATGTCTTGTACTTGATTAATGGGCATTCTATTTGAATGCCTGTAATTTCTTTGTGGTACACGTCTTTAAATACTTTCGGCAAGTGTTTACTGCCTGTGCTGGGGCCACAAATTTGTATTCGCTCATTTAGCATTCACATCGCAAATTGTCGTCGCACCAAGCCAGGCGTAAATGGGGAATTGCATTTGGCGGTGGCGCACAATCTTCACGATATTGGCCCCTAAACAAACCCAGCAGATGACTTAATTAATTACGCAAATGCTTTTTGTGCAGCCGAGCGCTAAATGTCGCTTATTGAAAGTTATCGCGACGCAGAGCGCCAGGATATCGCTGACAATCGCAGGATGTGCTTTAAGATTCAAGAAATCGAAAAATGGAAAAAGAGGCGAACGCCCGTCGATATCTACACTGGAGGACAGGTAAGGCAGAAATACTTGAGGTAATATTCCTGTAAAATACCTTTTTTAATAATATAATATTTAAATGAAATAGAAAAGGTGATTTAGAACAGAATAAATCCTTTTTCATAGTTAAATTTTCAATATTTTAAAAAATATTTTTTCAGAGTGCCTAGGCGAATGGTGAGAGACCGGGAAAATCCAATTGCCGGTTTGTCCTTCGAAGCAGCAAAAGCAGCCAGCGGGAAAAAGGAAGTGAAAGTAATGATGGGGTAAAGAAAGCGTATTCCCCCATGAAGTACGAAAGGATGTTACATTGCGAGTGCTTAGGACACGCCCCTTTTAGGAACTTGTCTCTTTTAATGACAGTGCCATATACGATTTTTGTTGCATACTTTCGTGGAGCGCCGGAAATGAGTGTTTGTCCAAAACATGCAGCAGTCTGCACATATGTACTTCCATACATACCACATATATTTCAGTGCGAACTGATGACAACAGCCACAACGCAGAAGAACAAAAATGGTGAACAGGCCATAATTTATTCACATAGGAGCTTCATAAACATAAATTCGGCTCGACGGGCTGTCCTTTCATCAATGATAATAACGTCGCATTTGTGCGGTCCATGGTAAAAAAACTGGGGCGGCCAGCGGTTCGAGTACAATGACCAACCAAAAGAACACAGACACCTACGTCATCCCCAATCCCAATTGCCATTAAAGCTGGAAAATATTCACCCTCCTCGGCGCCAAAAAAAAAGAAAAGAAGGGGGTACATTTTTTAAGGTCTGATATGATGCCATATCTTCCGATTTTCATCGCCATTGTACCGCGCTCGCTGAATTATCGGCAGCCATGCTCTCGCCATCATCTTATTTTTGCTGCTGCCACACAGGGCGTATGTGTAATATTTATTTAACAACCACTCACACACACACGCACACTTTTGGTTTAAACGACAAAACGTGAAGATGCTTTTAGCCGCCTTTGACAGCGAGAACTCTCTTTTCTAGAAGGATTATGGTAAGTTGTTTAAAAGAGTTGCCAGAGACAACGCGAATAAGTTGCGGGGGATATAAATAATATATCAAAGTGCCGGTTAAGGCACTGCCTTTGTTATTTCCACATCAAATGGCTTTGTATTATTTTTAATACAAGCGTAGAATTGAATTAAGAAAATTCTTAAAACTTTTGGGTTCATGTTTAAACAGGATATGTTCAGGATAAGGGGTTTACCTACCCTTAAGTAATAAGAGAATGCATTTTTTATATAAAACTCAAGTAGAAGCAAACCGAAAAGTACTTAACTCAAATCTTTTACAGAATTGAATTTTTTTACAGTTGCCTGGCCACATTTTAGTTGAATTTCATATCGTTCGGTGGAGTGCAGCAGAAAATGCTTGCAATTTCACTAATTCAATATGAACATTTGAGTCGTGTGCCGGCAAAGCGGAATTGTCAACTGTTTAGTGTCCTTTGTGAGCGCCCTCCCTCCAGTTAAAAGTTTTTCATGGCTTTCCTCGTTTCGCTTCCCTTTCGCTTCCTTTCGTTTTGCCACTGTTCCGCTTCCGGGAAAGCAATTAAAGATACATTTTCGCGCAAACGAACGCTAATGAATTTAATAATTTCCATTCAAACGATACCGCCCAAAAGCGGTGTGGTGTGCAAAAATTTCACGATTTTGAGAGGATTCAAATGAAATAATTCGCCGGAATTCTACCGCAATACCTGGGCGCTTTCATTAGGCCGCCAATTTATAGGTGCAGTAATCGCATTTCACCAACGTTGCCGCAAAAGTGGCTGCTAAACCGAAAAAAACCATTTAAATTGATTACGTTGCGTATACGCAACATTTGGCACCACTCAAATATTGTTGTTTGAAACTTTTTCTCTTTATTTTTCTATTTTGCGTGTGGTTTATTCGAGCAGCGCCATCTAATGTGGGCTGTGCCATGATTACGCGGTTGGCTGGTTTTCGCGTGGGGACATGTGGATGTGTGGTTGTCTCTTTTGGCGCTTTAAGCCACGTTAAGTGCTCGCACCTACGCCAGAAGGCCTGAGGGCGCAAAATTGAAAACTCTAACCGAACTGCGTGACAATCAACCGGGCCAAACAATTACCAATTTCGATATGCACAGTCAGACGAGGACATTTCCGTGCCATAAAAGCGCCCGAGGATAACATAGAAAGATACAATATTGATGGCTCGTTACCAACAAATTGTGTAAAAACCCCCATCCACCCCCCAATCGCTTGCTTTATTTGCTAAAATACTTTTTATGGCTTTGCCCGGCTGTCATAAAGATCCCTTCGACATTGGACACGACCATGGGCCAGAGATCAAGTGGTCGTTGGCCACTGGCAATCGCAAGTGAGGGAACAGGTTCCGCTTTTGTTATATCTATACAACTTTAAGGCACTCATAATAAAGAAAAAAATTTTATTAAATATAAAAGAGATCCAAATTATTAACTAGTACTATGCCTGAACTTTGTCTTTCGAGCTACTATCAATCGAGATACATAAGATACTATATATATAATCTTAAGATACTTTATAGAAAGGCATTGAACTTTAACTAGCTGTATAGAACTACTTACAACCATAAACTCAATTTATCCTTCTAACTATTGGAATTATGTATCTTTGACAGCAACACGTGGCCAAAGCGAGTGCACTAAATGTATTTGGAGAACCAACAAAGGGAATATTGATTGGAATTTGCATAGACTTTTGAGCCAGATTAGCCGGCGCTTACAACCGCATTCCAGCAGCACGCCGGCCTCAGTGTCACGTATTCGTGCGATGTGATCTTTGTGGGACTGACAAATGCCGGGTCTTATCACAGGCCCGTGTTTGCTGACCTTTCCTGTCCGGAATTCTTAAGCAGTTCGCCGAAGAGGTCGTCGTAAAACAGCTACTTATATAATGCCCGAGAAGCGGTGAGCTCTGCTTTTGATAAGCAATAGGTGGGCGGAATGCCGCTGAAATTATGTTCAGCAGGATACCTTTAATTACGGCCACGTTATTGTGTTGGCCACCTTCTGCTGACTGCTACTTTATGGCCGTAATTTTGCTGAAAACTTTGGCAATGCAGTAAATTTCGAGCAAAGTACACTTGCACAAAGGGCGTCGACAGCAAAGATAAAGAGACAGTCAACGCTAGATCCTGCACGGAGAAAAATTAGTGTATTATTTTGACTTACTTATCTCAAAGTAACTTTAATAAAATTAATACATATTTTATATTCAAAAATTTTAATGTGACATATAGGTCACTAATTCTTAGCTTTGGAAATTAATTTCACTTAAGGAAAGCGTAAGGAAAAACACACTGTCTTTTAATCTCAAAATGAATTCAAAATGTTTATGGTTAATACAATTTTTTTAGATAACAATTCTATAACAACCTTAATACCCATCTCAGCAGGAAGAAGTCTAATTTTCTTGAATCCTTAATCTTAATTAGTAATTAACCTTAACACGTAAGCTTTTTTTCTTAAACGAGTATTAATATTGAAGCACTAAACTTTCTATTATGATATATCACTTAAATTTCCCAACCTCTTAATCAAAGTCAATATTTATTTTGAAAAGAAGTCCTAGAACGTCAACATACGTTGATGATACCCTCCTACATGTTTTGAAATCTAATTGATTTTGGATGTGTTTTGTTAACGGATTTGTCTGAGTGTAAGCCCAACACAAGCAGAGGATACCGCAAAATGTTACGCCCCCAGGCACACACACAAGCACACAGAGACGCCGAGACAAACACACACAAAATGAAACGAGACACTCACACAGGTGGCCAAAAAATTTACTGTCTGAAATGGCAAGTCGCGTGTTGTAATTTTCATGTGTCGGCAAAACGGAAACGGAACAGCAAACAACACATAGCCGACTTTATAAACACAACAACACCCCCCAGCACACACACACACACACCCACACACCACAACTCAGACAAGCAAAGGCAAACACTCACAGATGGGCGAGAAAGGACGAAAACCACAGCGAACGATAATGGAAAGCATTAAAGCAGATTACTTGTGAAGCCAAAATGCCAGGAGACACAGTGGCGGTCTGAATTAAAGAAACTCAAGGACGAGACTCCTTTTTTGTATGCGCGAAAAGGCTTCGAATTGATGAAGATGAAGGTCATTCGGCGATGGCTGCAATCAGTGCCTCCTTCTCGCAGGATAGTGCCACCCATTACGTCTGTCCGACATTTGCCTAGGCCAATTTTAATTGTTTCTTCTTTAGGTTCTCGCTGGATTCAAGAAGGCCCAGTTTGGTGATGCCATTTTAGCCATTTTTTGCTAAGTTTCAGAACAAAAGGTTTTTTTAATTAGTTGATTTATTTGCTTTATTAAATTGGGCACTAGTAAGTTATTTAATATCCGCCTATGCATTTTAAATAGGCTATACATTTTTTTTTTTATTTATATGAAAAATATATTCCAATTTTAGGGATGGTAATTAAATCTGTTAAAGTATCTTAAAAGAAATGTATTGATTCATTTTATTTTATGTTAATCTAAGTATTAAATAATTTTTAATTTTTTAATACTACTTAATAGCCATCTTATTATCGAAAACTGATAAATTTGCCATGTTAATACTTATAACAAAGTTTGTGCCCTTTTTAAAATGATTTATTGATAATTTATTTAAGTTATTATTTTTTTATAATATAAAGTTATAAGTTGAGGCTTAAGTTTTACAATTGTAACACATAAAAGACATATAACATTAAATTGAAAATTGTGCCTAACAAATAAAGATAACATTTATTCACATGCACTATAGGCTGGCTGAACACTTTTTGTGGCCAAAATTAATAACTTCAAGCAAAACCAAATATTTGAGTTCGGTTCTTATATTTGGGCTTATAATTAGCAAACTAACAGAAAAAGGCGTGGCAACGCCCCATTTAGGATAAATTCTAGTTGTATCATAAAAAATAATATAAAAATATATAAGAAAATACTTACCCTAAAAACAAAACATAATTTAGAGGTGTATATTTTTGATTTGGATTTATATCGATGTAATGAACATATATATAGAAAAAAGGTGTGGCGCCGCCCATTTTTCACATGTTAAATCGAAAACAATTCTGAGTTGTCTAACCTGAGGTTGTGACCTAAAAAGGTAAATTGCGACGAAAGTGCGCAAAAGTGCACTTTAGGATAGCATTCATATGAACAAGAACTGAACTACCGACAACACAGTGTAAATATTAAGGTGAAACTAGGTGAAACTCACTTTATATCTCTATTTAAAGTTAGTTTTTATTGTAAATTTGTACACGTAAAGCGACTATAAAAAACACTCAATTACAGGGACTACACAAACAAATCCAACTTGTGACGACCACAAACATAAAGTACAAACCGCTATCTTTCGATGCCATCATAACTTGTTTGGTAAAAACTTAGTTTGGTGCCCTATTTTTATAATTTTAAACCGACTCTTTTTTTCACAAAGTAGCTTTCGTGCGCCCGTGACACCGAACAGCTGTTTTAACAGCCGATATTTTAACAGATCGTGACTCTGTTAAAATTTCTGTTACGTAACATTGAAGTTTGAAGTTTTCCCAACACTTTGTCTTCATCAGATTTTAATATTAACGACTTTCGAAAAATGGATTTTTGGCCACAAAAAGTGGTCAGCCAGCCTATAGTGACATGGCTTTTACCGACGCCCAAACTTAGGCAACACTATTCGTAATGGCTATAACCCGCCCACCCACACACACTCAGCCATTCGAGTTAAAACCAAGAAGGGGGAAAGAACTTGTCGCTGGGCAATTTGTTTAATGAAATCATCAAATTAAATAAAATGTGCGGGCCCAAAAAGTGTAAGTGTAAGCAATTTGCTGGCGCCTTTGTTGTTGTTTTTGTTTTTGGCTTTTTGTGTCATGAAATATAAAACCACAGTATGACATGGCCCAAACCCCAAGAATCCCCCATTCCACCGCCTAACACGTGCCCACCAACTGACGACCAGGATCCCACTGGAAAAAAATACCCTACACTTCAAACTACAAAATTGAAAATATAATATATATTTTTATTCAATGCAAACAGTTTCTGTGATTATTAGAAATATATTAAACTATATAAACTCAAAAAGAAATATTTTTATTTCCTAATTTTATTCCTCTCTTACATTTTATTATATTTTTCTGTGTAGTGGATTTGTAACCGAAGTCAACAGCATAACTCTGCGCGTGTTGGTCGAATGCTCGCACGTCTCCTAGGCTGTCATTTTGGCCATGTTTTCAGCCTAAATAGCCCATCGGCCCTCGACTAGATCCTGGCCAAAATATCCCCTCGGGCGTTTCAATTACATTATTAATCACATCACTCGCAGGTCTTATTTTAAGCAGTTTTCCGACCCAGCTGCCGGGCAATAAATTCGTTGGCCACCAGCAAAACTTTTTCAATTAACACAAAATTATGCAAATTGAGTGGCTGCCAAAGTCGCAGGCATAGGACTTGCTTAGATAGCGATAAGACAAATGGCGTTGGCATAGATTTCGGGTATTAAATTTATAGGGGGCAGGATGTTTGTGCAGCGAAATTCCAAAGAATTATGACCTACCACAACGGGCCAAGCTCTTGTGCTGCGGGATTTTGCTACAAGAAACATAATTGACAACTGGAAATACATTTCTTGTGAAATGTAGCTTTAAATGTTAGTTGGTTCTTAGTATTTATAATTTTTAGTTTATGTAAATATTTGAACCGGCTTTTTCCGACCTCTTCGAATTCTGTTTGGACAGAAAAAAGGTCACTCGGACATAGAGACAGTATCAAGTGGAACTTACCTATTTATTAGCAGTTGAAGTGTGCTGGCCTTGAGGATAAGCAGCACAAATATGATTATACCAAAGCCGGTGTTTAAATAAACGGATATATCTAAAATGATGGTCCCTAGCAAGTAACGGAACAAAGACGTAATTCTGTCCAGGAGCCAAGATACGCCCATTATGACAAAGAGCCGAAGAAACTGCAGGTAACTGAGATTGGTAAATGAGATACGCATTAATTCTAAAAAGATCATTTCGTACGTCTGGACATCGATATCGAGACAGGGCCTCTTTCTCATGTTTGGTTGGGCAAACCTTTTGACCTCCCTCTTTACTTTCCAAATGTGGATGGCCGTCAGGATGAACATGCTTGAACTGAAGGTGGTCAAGATCAGAACCGGGCCATGAAAAAATATCCAGTAAGAAAAGCCCCAGTCTGTGGATGAAACAAAATAGTCAACTTTCAATTAGATCTATCTAGCCAGATACAACTTTAATATAAACCCACCTTGCATATAACATCCTACAAATCCAACAAATGGCGTCAAGTACCTTTTTTGGGGATCCTCTCCCCAAATCTGATTCATTATATAAATTACTCCTGTGGGAATAGCAGCCGAGACCCAAACAAATGCGCTGTACTTTAAGAATGCATTACGTGGCTCAAGGCGACTTAGGGAAGTGAAAAGTTTCCTTAAATGATAGCTGATTACCGCGAACCACAAATAGGTTGCCATCGAAAAGAGGTAGTCAGAATAAGCTAAAAGCGATTAATAATTTGAACAAGATCAAGGTAAAATTAAGACACTATCCGAAAAAAAATTCAATAACTAACCTACTAGAGTGCAAATATTATATAAAAAGTTTAATTTATTCAGGGTCCAGAAGAGGTACTTCAAGAACAAACCGAATACACAGGATATAAGACACTTTCCAAGTAAGTTCCGAAGCTTCTTAATATACAAATACACAGCCATAGTCAGGATGAAGCATATTAGCGATATTATAGTAACTAAAAATTGAGAAGCAACAGAATAATATAAATTTAGAAAAATATGAATCCATAATTATCCTTACTCTCGAATGTAGCCGGAACGCGTCTTGTTAGGCACATTCTGTTAACAAACCATAAGATCTCCGGAAAGTCCGAATAAGTTTGGGGAAAGAGGCAGTATTGGTCGTTGCTCAACATCACGGCGGTGGGGTGGAGAAGTATGGATCCATCCTATAAAGATTTGAATTAGGCAGGGAGGCAGTTGGAACATTGTAATCAAACCTTTAACATAGTGTATTGATCGGCCTTTAAACCAAGAACCTTGTCGCAGGGTTGAAAGTGTTCCCTTAAGACGAATATTTTAGTAGAATTGTATTGGGGCATCTTTCTAAGCTCCGTTATATTAAGGTCCTTCGTTATGATATCATCAAATGTTAGGTTCAACATTCTTAGAGAAATCTCCTTCTTAAGGTCATCACTACACTCCCCGTTGGCCAAAATATTCTTGTAGGCACAGCATATCCGGATGCAGGGCGTATCTTTGCAGATACAGGCCCTTAAATGTTTGTTAACCGACTCTTTGGATCCATCCGAAAATTCACGAAAACTGTACTCCCCAGTTAAATTAGCGGGAATTTCCAGACCTTCATATACATAAGTGTCGTTCAATTTTTTATAGCGCGAGATATCGATAGTTTCTTTGTATTTGCATTCTGGAATCTCTGCGCTAGATCTTTTCGCAATATATGAGATCAGAAATATACCGAATAATTTTAAAACCGGAGACATTTTGGATTTTGCTTCCTTCTCCACGGAAAGCTAAAGTGGACTAAATCTCGAATCGCGTTTTTTGTAGATGAAATAAATTTGCACTGTGAACCTTGGGCTTTTATAATCAACAGCTGAGGAGCTGAGCTATTAAATGTATTCTCTAAAGAATTAAAACTCCAATAATTAATAAAATCAATAAGTGTATGTTTTCAAGCGTTCCGTGCGATCTGAAAATTAATGTTATCAACAACGTTTGAACACAAATAGAATTTGAAGCAATGAAAGAGCGTCATGGGAATAACAAATTAAAAATTGTATATGTAAAATCTTGATAAAATTGATTTTCAGTAGAAAACAAATATAAGAGCCCGAAAATTATTTTATTATTGTTCCGGATATCCGATAAGCTATGCCTCTAAGTACTGTTTATGCGCTTGTAGATGTAGTTAGCTGGTCATTAAAGCGAGGCAGCAATAAATTCACGAATATACACGACAAACCAAAGATTCAACTCATGCTCATGAGAAAAGCAAACTACACGGTGAAAATTTTATTTGTAGATTAGTGAGATTCGGTTTCAAAACTAAACAATATTTGAAATTGGACTGAAAAAATGTAGTGAATTGAAGGGGTATAACAAGAAGATATTTAAAACTTAAAATATCATTTTTTTTATATCGGTTTTTTAATGTCTACAAATGTTTTATACTATTTGTCATTGCAAGGAGGCAATAAACTTCTTGTTGACTGTACTCATGGTTCTCGAAATTCCAGACGCATTTGCAGCGCTGTGACATTCATCAGAGCGCGTTTCGCGTCCACATTGTCTCGCCCGAGAATAAGGATGAGGTTGTGGCTTTCATCCGCAGGAACAAGGACGCTGAAGGATGGCGGCGAGGAGCTGTCTCGTTACGCTTACTTAGCAGCTTAATTTATGCATTGTGCAGGGCGCAAATGATGCATTGTTTGCCATTGCAGTGTGTTTTCTGGTCGGGTGGCAAAGTTCTCCCCTGAAGCAGTTTCCCAAAGTTACCCGGCAAAGCCTCGTCCTGGGGCTCAGTCAAGGTGAACGGGCGAAACCAATCAATTAACCCTTTTTAGGGCTTTAAATGCACTTTGTAAAATAACAAGTTATTGGTGAAGCACAAGAATGCTGTGTTCATTAAAGGGTTTATTTAAAAACAAACAAAAATCGAAGTATGTAAGTCGTGTTCGCTTTCTAAACAAGTTGTAAAATATAAACCAAGTTTTAGATGGAATTATGGAATTTATGCTTAGAATGAAAAAGTTACAAGTTTGTGCTTAAAAAAGTGTTTTAAATTTGTTACGAGATAGACACCCTCTTATTACTGGTGCGTGGAAAATAACAAAATAATAACTTCCAAGTTGTCAAATTTGTATCATATTACTGAACAAATTTTAAATGTAAGAAATTATATTTAATTGTGTTACATGTTTCTGCTAAACCATAAGTAAAAATTTGTAAGGAAATAACATTTTATTAAATACCCAAACTAATACTTTTCATGCAATAACAAAATTATTCTTTCAAATTGATGGATTTTTATTACACGGTTATTTGTACTCACTTTCTTGAGCTGAGCGGCCACATGCCACAACCACTGCCACTAAATTGCGCAAAGTTGCAACCCAAAGACGCAGTAACTAAAGTTGTGGCTGTGCTCACCTTTTCCTCCAGGGGCTCTGTGAAACTTGCAATTAAGTTAGTGGCTTTCTTTCTTGCCACCTGCAGCAACAGCTCACTAAATGTGCATCGCGGCACTTAAAACGCACTTGGCTTAAAGAGGACGCAGTGCTTTTTTAAATATAATCGAAAGAAGTACTATAATTATATTATACTTATAATTATATTTGAAGTCCCTTTTATATTTAATTTTAGGTGTGTAAAAGTATGCAGCATAAAATGCTGTATAAGCTCGTTGTTTTTCTGACTTTAATGTATATATTGTTGCATACTTTTAGGCACCTAAAAAATTAAATTTCAAAGTACTAGAGGCTTGTGGCACAGTCCTATAAGTAAATTTAAGAATTATTAAATACAAAAACTATCTATTTGTAAAAGATCTAATCTCGGATGCAAGATGGTCGACAGGTTGGCAAATAAGTTGTAATACCGATTGACCCGTCTGAGCGGAAATAGACAGACAAGTCAATGGTCGAAACGATTCGTCTGATGACGTTGGCCAAGAGGATGTTTGCTGGCTCGAAAAACGCTATCAATTGGCAATTATATACTCTGAGAACGTACCGCCTGGTCCTGACTGACGGCGAGTCATTTCGTTTGCGCATAAATCAAAATGAAATTGCGTTAAAATGTTTCTTCAATTGATTTACTGTTGACTTATTGCCGTTTTCATTTTATTTCAGTTCCTTTCTGTTGCTTGCGGAAAATTTATAATTTTAATGTGCCCTGTTCGGCCTGGAGGCGTTTTTCATTTATTTCCCTGCCTGTCTTCGGTAAATATTACATAATGAAAGGCGAAACCAAAAGTGTAGAGCGCTTCGAGGGGCATACATTGTTGTTATTTAATAAGAGTTGGCTATTCCAATATTTTCACATTTTTTTAAATCTTGGCGATATTTTCAAAATATTATATGCGATTTTTAAAGGTCTGTATTTCTGCAATTAGGATTTCTTGGTAATTACAATTATGACTTCTGTTGGTTAAAGCAAAAAAGAAAAAGATTTTGTAGCATACTTTTAGACATCTTTGTGGCACCCTGGATTATAAAATATAGTAAACACTCTTTTCATTCTAACAAATGGTCGTCAAAAGGAAGAAATTAATTACATGGCACTCTTGCAACCTATTTTCCGGCTTTATTAGTCAGCTTTTTTACGACCTCTTCTTGTAAAAAAAATCTCTTGTAGAACACCTGGCAACACTGATAGCTGTCCCGTCCCTTTGTTTATTTAGCATTGATTTATGCATTGAGTGTTTTAAATGTGGGCGTGCTATTTATGGGTCTTGACCGATGTTCGTTCGTCTGCTGGCGTTTTTGCGCTGCTTGCACTTGATTTGTGGCTTGTCCTGCAGACGGGGACTCGAACCCACACCCAAGGCTACAAGTCACTGCCAGGACCCCGGACACAGGACTCCGGACTCTGGACGTGGACAAGGCGTGTCCTGGCGAAAGGTCACTTGATGTATGGGAACCTTAGCTTCTTGGCGCTCGGCTAGTTTGCATATTTGGCTGCTGCTGCTGCTGTGTCAGCAGTGGAAATCACTTCAAACATTATGGCTCCTTGTCTTGCCAGTCAGCCAGCCATCAGGCCATCCAGATTTGTGTCCAAAAAGTTCGTGACAAATTTGATAAGACTTTGCAGCTCATTTGTACTCCATGTTGAGCTGCTTTGTTTGCTCGGCTTGTGCTGCATTGCACTTGGCTGCTGATTTTCTCATCAACATAATAAATGAGCCTCCTTCGTCTGCAGATCTTTCGTCGCCGTCATTTGGGTGCTTGTCTAATTTGAACATGAATTGGTCTGAGGAACATCAGACTTAAACCTCGATTCTTCTTGGTGACCTACGTAAAATAATGGGGGAATCTATGCTAACAAGCATGTTTGCATGTGTGGTTTTTGGTAGTAGATTCAGACCATAATGAGAAACGAGTCAGTAATAATGCACATTTTAAAATATTTAATTAAATTTTTTTTACGTTTTCACACTCACATTTTAAATATTACCTTACTGGTGTTTTATAAAATGTCAATAAAATATAGAGATAGTAAAACATAGCCGCTTTTTCAAAAAAAATCATTGTGCTTTCGAGTTTAAAATATATTAGTGCATACTTTTAGGCACCCTAAACTACATTTAGAGGTGATTTCAAAACCCCCGTATATTTCTTTTTACAAAATTCCTTTCAATTTTCGCTTGCTTTCAGTCTGCTAAATGCTGATCAACACATGCCCCAAAATATTGACATTTAATTGCCGACAGCCACATTTCTGGAGGGCTAACCGAACCGGAATCCATTGGCATCAATGTGTCAGTAAACCATTTCAATTAGGCCGCGACCGGAGACTCAATGCAAATGGGGGGCCGACCACATGCGGAGGAGCAGTAGCCGTCTTGCCAGGAATCAGCAATTTAATGTCGGTTAAAGCCGCAGACATCGCATCAATGTCGAGCAGTTGGGGGTCCGAGAAACAGGAGTCCCCGTAACGATTGCCGTTGTATTGCCATGTGTACGCGTGTTTTGCTTCAGCAGACCGTAAGCTACGTGCCAGACGTTCCTGCAAGGACCTCCTTGGGCCCTTCCTCCCCCCTCCCAAAACTCATTTCCGACCACCATGTGCCGAACCATGGGCCCCCCTTTCATGGGCGGCATGCCAACAGCTGCTCGATTTCTTTGTGTGATTTGTTGTGGAACGGATGTTGGCAACATGTCCCACGAACTGCGGACACAGTCCTCTTCCACATTCTTCTACCATTTATTTTTCCATCCATTTTCTAGCCCCTTTTCGAAATAGTTGGAATGGCTTCTACACAATTGTTTGCCATTTAATTCGCATTCGCCAGATATCAACCTAATTGAATTCATTTCGCCAGCAGATGTCGGAATTTAAAGCATTCGCTTACCGAGTTGGCAGTGAAATGGAAACATTATAAAAACAATGCTTCTCTATGAAAAAGGGAATGTAATTTATTCATTCTCGGTTTCGATTGAACGTGACTCGCAATCATTAGAATCGAAAGGGATCGAAATGTTAAGGTCGCGCTTGTAAAAACAGTCAGCTCTTGAATTACACAAATAATGATGTCTCTAAACGAAGATAACGTTCGATATCCATTTTTGATTTTATATAGTTCTTGAATTTTATATTTGATGTAATACGAAAAGTTTCCGGAGTCTTCCAAGCATTTTTAGTGGAAATAATTTATGACCGTTTTTATAAATTCTTGCTTGTAAAGTTTGCGTGCTTATCTGAAAAAAGTTTCAAATTTTTCCTCGCCATTTTTTGCACGGAAATTTAAAGCAAAACAGGA